GCTTTCAGTTTATTAATATTATGTTGCTTATGTTAATTTTCTTCTTCAATTGGAATGAAATTAAATATTTTCATCGAGAATATTTCAAATAATGCGGGAAAATATTTTTTTTAATTGAAATTTTTTCAACTTTTCTTAAATATTTCTCTGTGATATGGTTTTTATGATTTTTTTAAATTTTTTTAAAATTAATTATTTGGGCAATAAGTCATATCATTTTATTAAATAAATAATTTATAGTTTTTTTTTTTTTTTATATAATTATTATCAATGTAATTTTTTGTTTTTTTTTTTTTTTTAAAGGTTTCCATTATGAGGTATGAAAATATGCCTACAGATTGCATCACGTTTACCTGGTATTCCGTAACCCAATTGATTGCATTGAAGTTTTCCATGTGTAAACGTCTCCTAACCTAAAGTGGGGTATGAAATCTTCCTGGGAACTTGGTGATGTTTGTATGCCTAGATTTTTGATGAATGTGATCTTTTAATCATCATCTTCATCGTTTCGCGGTACATGAACTTATTAATTTTCAGTTACTTTATTCGGGACCTAGGAATCGGTCTTAAAATGAATTGTCTTTCCGTAAGCTTTCGCCTTTTAAAGTATCAGTGTATAAATACTCTTGGCTACTGCTACCGTAACAATTAACGCTACCCAGGCGGGAAATGGATGTCTAATGTGAATGTAATGAGCGGCTTCACTCGTTTGAAGTTGCTTTCGAATATATGCTCGTCGTAAACTCTTCAATGTATTGTCAAAGTCGTAGAATTCTGCCGCATCAATTATCAGATCTTGGAGGAATATGTAAACATCTTCAAAATACGTCCGACTTTCGGCGACGGCGAGTCAGCGTTGAGAAGTCATCGACTTCTTGCTCCACTTGGCAGTCAGCCCCTTGATATTTACCACATACCTATATTGTTAATAACAAGGCTAGAGAAGTAGTAGCACGATTGGATGCATTGCTCTATTGATGTCTACTCCTTGTGCATTTCACATAAGTTGAATGGCAATCCACGATGAATGAATAATCCAAATGCTAAAGTGATTATGACACGTCATGTAATGCTGACAACCCAAAGGCAATATGGTTAGAACTACAACATAAGGACCATAATGACCACGGGCGCTAGGATGGCGATCCCGCCAAATCGCTTGCATTGAGAATGACAACATGTATACGTTAATGTGTATGGGAAGTTGGCGTGAGAGCGACATAGAATCTGACTGCTTCGGCGGATATCGCCTTGCCTAGGGTTATCTTAATTAGAGATGCAGAAAAGCCTTCGCTTGCCTAGAAGGAAAGATTTGACCCCGTTCCCTAACTTCCATAGCTTGGTACAATCCCTCTAAGTTGTAGATTTGTTCCGCTAATTTGGCTGCGCCAGCTAGCGCTTGTATGTAACTTTTGAACAGGCTGCGTTTCGTCCAGGGCAGTGCGCAGACAATATGACATACTCTTGCGCTCTCTTTCTGCAACCGCGTGCAACGGATTACCTTGTGATACTTGAAATGAGAATTTATCTTACGATCATAAGATTATCTGTACACTATGGGTACAGTGGTTAGAATCGAAAAAGAATTTACAAACGTTATAAGATCGCTAATGTACTGATCACTACAACTGAAAGGTAACTGTGTTGCGCTCTCATCTCTTGGTGGTTGGTGGGTATGAAAAAATACGGTCTCGTTGGTATATACAGGTCTACGGAAAAGGTTTGTAGCGTTTTTTCGAACAGATGGCTTTAAAGTTATACAACTTTTGTAGCACAAGTCCACACAACAAAAGACTACAACAAGCACTTGTATATTTACTCGAAAGTAATTACGTTTTGAATATTGGGCAAAATTCTGAGAAATTTGTCTGGATGACGTAATGGGTTTATCAGAAAATTTTATCGACATACTTGACTTCATAATATTAAATTTTTATTTTACTAAACTGCAACGCAAATGTTTTTTCTCCTAACTAATATTTACTGTAAAAAACTTCTCGAATGTACGCTCGAGCCGCTCTCCTCACTTCGAAAGTTAATATATAATAAATGAAATTTAGGTTGCAAGCGTAACTTAAATTAAACTAAAGTACGCACTATTAGCTTTTGAAAAACAAAACACCAAAAAAACAACAAACGATGGAAAATCCCAAAATCGTTCGTTTCAGGTGGCGACTTTGAGTAGGTATAAAACGATAATGATTGATGGAAATGACATTATTTGCATATCAACTTGCCGTCTGAAAGGCTCTTTATCAAATACAAGACTATTCGGCACGAGAAAATCGATACTATGCCAGAAGGAGAGTTTTAAGTAGTTGCACTAGTCAGAGCTGGACGGAATCAAAGCCAAGTGGCATGATAGTTAAATTTAAGCCGATATTCTGTTCGACGTGTATACCAGGTAGCTATACTCAGTGACGAGAAAGTCGCCGAAAACTTGTTGCAACACAGCGTGATGATCATTTAATTGTCGTAACATCACTACGTTCGTATTCAATCCAATTCGGGCAGCAGCCCAAGGAATGGCATTCCGTGGATGGACGGTTAGAAGAAGGTTAGCCGAAGACTGCCCTGCAACTTGCCCTCAGTAGACCTCAGTCCACTGACAAGCGAGCCGTCAGGTTATAATTGTGATTCCAGTGGTCCAATGGTGACCTTTACGATCACATTGAACGCAATAGACACAATTAAAGGAGTTAACGGAGCTTCAAGCTACAAAGCTTAAAAAAGAGAAAAAAAAAAAAAGCAGCGTTTAAAACTTTATAAAATGAAAACAAATTGCGTTGGACGCGTCCGTTGTGTTGCCAGCTAACCAGTATAAGAATTTTACTTCATTGTCCATTGGATGTTTTGTAGTTTTTAGAAACGCGTGCTTCAAAGTGTCGATTAGCCTTTATGTTATAATTCATTCCCTTTGGTAGCATATGCACTAAACAAATGACGTATCGTAGTTTCTTGTCTCTCCGTCTCGCTATGTTTTTGTTGCATATCGTATGTGAATATTTATTTGTATACAAAGCAAATAAACGCAAAAAGTCAGGGGAGAAGACATGCATCACTGTGCCGTGAAAATTGATAAAATGATATTGATGAATTGCCACAGCATATACGATTTATAAAGTTGATTGACGTAAAGGCACACCAGCAACGTATTCGTTTATGTGCGAAAAACCATTGATCAGCCAACCATTGAAGCAATAACCAATATGGAAATATATCAGCTAACTACCTGCCCGAGTATGTGTTTATTTTATCTTATAGCGAACCAGCCAAACGAATGACTGACCAACATACTAGCCCGCCAGCCAAACAGTAAGTCAACCGACCGACAATTCATTTATACCAATTTTGAATGGTTTCATATATTGTCTGCTTTTGCATTGCGTGTTGGCTGATGTTATGGGCTCACATGAACAAGTGACACTTTTCTAGATAAATGAAGAACTTTATTGACAAAATGCGGTTTTGAATTTAACGCAATAACAACAGCAACAATAATAGCAATAATAATAACACTAATGCACACATGCATATAAACACTTTTTCCTGTTGAGGGTTTTTAATGACACTTGTGGATTGTTTACTCTTACTAGTAATTTACGAAACTAAAAAAAATAAAAAAAAACAAATAAAGAAAGAAATTGTTTTTATACGAGTGAGAGAAAGCTCCGTCAATCTCACTCTTTGTCAATATTATTATTATTATATATATATACGCGTAACATATAATCGTGTATATATCAAAACAACATCACGTCCCAACAATTATTAAAACTTTTTTCCACAACCACAACTATCGCCAATTCAATTTCGAAAAACCGCGTCTCCTCCTTTCGTACTCATCTCACACCGCTTCGGTTTTTTCCTTTTTTTTTTTTGTTTTGTTTTTTTTTTCCCCCCCTCAAGTCTGTAGAAAAACATCGTGTGTTGTTTTAACTTTGACTCTATAATTTTTGCAGTGTTTATGTTTTCACACCATGTTCGTGTGTTTATTTATTCACTTTACTTACAGTCCCTCAAACACATATGCGAACGCAAACTCATTGCTGCCATAAAGTCAACCAGCGTGCGTCAACATAAATTTTCTTATTTATTTATTTTACTCGCATTCACCGTACACGATATGCTTTCATTATTATATAAGGCTTCTTTTTTATTTACGTACCATGCGTGCTATACGATAGCGTTATATTGAAGCAAATAGATTTTATACCGATTTTTGCTCCCATTAACAATGGGCATGCTTATCCCATTGTCATTTTAAGCAGCAGCTTACAAATCTTGGCTCAATTTCAAATCGAGAATATGCTGAATGACAAACTCTTATATCAATTAATTAAATATTCTTGCATACAAATTGGCCAAGTATTCAATTTAATTGAATCGTAGCGTTAAGAAACATAAATTTCCCTTAGACAATAGTTTTTGAAAACATCATCATTCATTTCATTGAATATATAGTGGCATCATTCTATGAAGTAAAATCATCAAGCTCTATGTAAAAGTCAAATAAAAATACATGGAACAATATACAAGTAAAGGCCCCTGAATCAAACGAAATGAAAGACGACAATGTAGGGTGAATATTAAAAGATTCAAAGCCAACCTGGATGCTTTCTCTTTGATATAATGCATACAATAATATGAGTGTCATCACATCTGTGCGAAATATCTTTTGTGTTCAATGAGTGACGCTGAATAACTGCGAATTTTGAAAGCAATATGTAAACCATGCAACTATTTCTTTGCAGTAATCGATCGATATACAAGGCGACCAATGTGTTACGCAAAGCCTGATTTATCTTTATGAAGTGTTTCCTGGCGGTTAAGTAATCCTCATATCAGAAAATTTGCGTTAAAAATAAAGCAATAAAATGTCGCATTCTTTTTATTATAATTAAATAAAAAAAAAAAAAAGAAAACCTTTAAAAGATAGAAAGTGAATTAAAAAAATATTACGCGGAAGTCAAACTTTTATTTTTATAGTATATATGTAGTAGTCGACAGTATTTTTCTGTATTAATGCGTCGTAATTGTGATACGGATACATATTATCGAAGGTAGCAGCAGTAAGGGCTGTGGTTGGGTATGAGAAACATTTTAGGATGGTTGTACGGATGTAAGGATGTAAGGCCTTGGAATTCACATTATTTACGAGAAATAGATGACGAAAGTCCTTTCTTGCGTCGTACGGGATGAGGAATGCAAATGCAATAAAAAATTGTTTATTTTATTCATTATAGATATTGAAGTTTTCCCGTTATATTTATAGAAAGTTTACTGCTATTAGGCTGTCATTGCATCCAAGCGTTTAGTATTTAAACATAAAAATTTCACATTTATGAAAAGTTATATAAGAGTATATACTTAATGTACAATATATGCAATGTAGTAGTTATTGTTGGTGCTCATACTCGACACATGTAAAATATAATAAAAATAACCAACAAAAACACTTTACAGTATTGGTGGTGATGACGATGACGAAAGTGACGATGATGATGATGATGATGATGATGATGAAGTTTGTAATATTAAAAGTAATATTTCAACAAATTGTTGATGATACTGGCAGTGTACGTATATACATGTATGCATATGTCGAACTAAATGTAGTTTTATGTGTTTGTTTATATAAACTTTTCCTAATATGTATGTTTTTTTTTTTTTTTTTTTTTTTTGCTTACTGTATGTAAATGGAAGGAAAGAGGGAACCATACGTTTCGCCTATAGTTAAACAGGTAGGAGGAGGGAGGGAACCTTTAACCCAGTGAAATGAAATGATATGAAATGAAATGAAATGAAATGAAATGAAATGAAGTGAAGGCAGTGCACGAGAAACAAGGGAAAAATAATTTCAAATAAATAAACAAAGCAACGCACACGCATCTAATACATTTTTCGAATCATACTTAGATGAAGTTGTATGTGTGGCATATGTTGGTATTTGAAAAGTTTTCCAATGAAGTAATTTATTAAGTTGCTATATGGACCCAACCGTCATCCCACTTACTTATATCAAAGTTTAGCAACAACTTCATCAAGATGTGTTTACGAAGTTTGCTATGTATGCGAGCGTGATATGCGTATGCGTGTGTGTTGTGTCTCTCTCTCTGTGTGTGTGTGTGTGTGTGTGTGTATAAATGGAAGTGCGGTTGTACAAATATCTAGACAACTTGTGTTACTAATCAAATATTTGCAAAATTTTCATAAAATTTGTGGCAATGATTTAGAAAAGGAAAAAATTAAAAAGAAAGCAAGAAGGAAAACCAAACCCCAAAAAATATTCTGCTAAACTTGATCACTTTATTGTTTTTTAGTGTGGAAGAAGAATGCAAAGAAAGATATTGAAAAATATTTCACCATCATCGTCGTCGTCCCCCTCCCCGGTCCCCGCTCCCACTCATCATGCCAAGATAGTGAGCTAAAAGCATTAGTTCGAAATCCCTTGCAAAAGTAAAGTAAATTATCTCTCTTAAAAATTGTAATTGAATTATATAAGAAAATGTATGATGATGGACGAAAACAGAAAACTTATAAAAAAGAAAAATAATAATAATAAAAAGTGAATGTATTCTAAATGAAAATAGATTAGACAATATTACTAAATATATAAGAAAAATCGAGGAGGTGCGATATAAATAACAGACCGAAAGAATTCATTTAACTTTTGTGAAAATATGAGAAAAAAACTTTTTTAAAATATTCATAATAAAATTTGCGAAATTTATTTTCTCAAAGATATTTATTTACAACATCGATCGATGCTATTTAATTCAACATATATATGCTTTGCATATATATTATTATGACATCAACTTATCCCGCTTTCAAAGTATTTTTATTACTATCTTCTTTCTTCGTCTGTGCATCAAAGCTTAGTGAAAGGCGGGTGAATTGCATTCATTTAAAGTTTTATTCAGTCAAATGTGTATCAATTGCTTTCTTTCCACAACCTAGTTGCCTGGTAGTAGTGGAGGGCGTTTCAGAGATAGGAAAGTTTTATTTTATTATTACAACTGATCCATCCCATCCTGGGTAAGAAATACTTTTACCGAAGCATGACAGCCGTTTTGCCAATTTAAGCCGCTTCCAGTTGCTTATCGATTTCAATTTCTTCATTTATAAGCAGTACTTAATCGATTGCAGTCCCCTGTTGGGGCGACTGGAACTGATAGCAAGTGATTCGTTTCAGGTCATGATTCTCAAGGAGTTATTCTCTTAAAAATATCAGTAAACTTTTCTGCTTTCACTTGAAGCACGACATCTCCTATGTTTAGTAGTTGTGCGTGGGACCGAACGACGACATATGTCCGAATCCCGAGTCGTTGAAAATATGAATGATCGGGCGTGGTCGTGATAAAATATGATGGCCTTTCTATTGATCAAATTTTTATCACGCGTTGTTATTTTTTTTTTTTTCGTATCATTAGCGATTCGCAAATGAAATTCCGTTTCGTTACCTTCTTCATTTTTATTTCAGATCTTCACCAAACATCGAGTATCGTTTTTGCACTCAACCCTGTAGAAATGACTCAAAACTCTTGTCTGTTATAAAATGAAATGTGCTGCCAATGGTGTCTGAGTTTTTGAAAAATTGCATCGACTTTATGAACGATTGATCAAGCAGGGCGTGACATCCTCATAACCTACACCACTTGTGGCGAAGGGCATATTCAGATAGGTGCGGACATATGTAACAAACAGAAGAATTTAACATAGATCCGTCTTTTATTATACCGACCGATTTAGAATTATAATCTGCATTGATCTAAGCCTGTCTAAGTCTGTCTCGCATATATGACAAAATTTTGAATTTTCAATGCTTCCCGACGAAAATTATATCATAATAGTCGTTTAACATAAAAAAATTAACTGCAGCAAATTTTGACCATATCGGCCTATCTTTTGCCCCATAATGGTAATTTCATGCAAAAATTAACTCTACGCCATTTTCGTGTATTACTGCATTTTGCCCTAAGTAGGTATTAAATTTTCACTACATTAGGTTGCGTTTTGGACCCGCTTCCCCATAAATACGTCCTTGGAAAATATGCCATTATGTAGAAACAAGATATAATTGTGCGTTCTATAATAAAAATAAAAATAGTGTTAGAAAATGTGGTGTGGGGTTATTTAATGACCATTGCCCGACCTTGCCCGACTGTAATGTTCTTATTTGTTTTAATATCGAAATTTTTAGGGCGGTAAGGAGCAAATCATTTACCTGTTGCTGATCTTTTTCACCATAATCCGCACAATTTTTGTTTGCAAAGCTTGCGTTTTAATCGATGTGATAGTGCAAGATATATCGGGCTCTTTACAATTTTGGATCAGTTTTAGAATGCAAATTTTGACAATGTCACAATTTTAGTTTTTTTTTTTTTTGGTCATATCTATGTTATGTGAATTTCCGACCCGTCTAGTATTTACTGCTTGGTAGAATGGATTAACACTGAACTGTACGTAATTGTTGTTATGGAATTATTCGATTTATTTAATGCTTTGCAGATAACAAATATAAAGGCTAATGTCTTTACCTACCTTCAGGACAAGTATATATATTTGTATACCCTACACCATTTGTGGGACAGGTACAAATTAAGCTTGCACGTATGTATGCAACGTCTACAAGCACTGCAGGTTGTTGCCGACTACCGATCCAAGGCTGTCAGTCCATCCGTCGGTCCGTCTACCCATCCCACTTCTGCTATTTTTGAGACATTTTGATGTATTTTAGGGGACTCAAGAGCGAACGCTATAGAAGTTGATATGAATCGCAGTACTTTTTCGATCACTTTTTAGACGATGCCCTGTCTTGAAAAGCCTTTATATGAATGACAGTAAGATAGAGTATGGTATAGGGATGGTGGGGCGTGGACGACTATAATATTTTTACTTGTTTTGCATATTTCGATTCCTTGACATTATCAAAATGAGAAGAAAAACAAAAAAAACTTCTATTAATTTATATCTTCTCTCCTCTTATGTCCGTGTAAGGTGGCATTTATTGATTTTTAGCCTTTAGTAAGAATACCCTCTGTAACTGCTGATTGCGCTCATTGCCTTCTCAGTAAATTACTTGAAAGTGATGTTTGGCAAGCTGTTGCTCTGCGTTCCAAGTATTTACCTATGATGAGTAAATTGTAATTAAAATTAAATCGAAAACCAATTGATTATGCTTAAAGCAATTTCATTTCATATATCTACAGTTTCGCATGAAAAGTTACTCATTAAAAATATATACACATATATATGGACGGAAGAGTTCTTTAGCAATATATATGGGTTAAAATTTAATTATCGAATAGCAATTAGGGTGACGAAGTTCAATAAGAAAAGTCAATAATTAATTAAATATATTTCAGAAAGAACACGAATAGCAAGAAATTTAAAACTCAATAATAGCTGGCTTACTGGGTTATGAACGTCTGAATTGAATGGATAACAAAAGCGGGAAGAATGCGCATCTGATGAGAAAGATCGGCATATAATTTCTTTTGCTTTCTTTTTTTTTTTTTTTTTTTTTTTTATAAACCAAATATAAACTCACTCCGTTTCGGGTTAATTACGAAGATGTGGCCAGTCTGGTCGACTGCTTATTTTCATACACATTTGTTCATGTGTCTCCTGAGAGTGACAGTGGTTTTCAGCTTCCGATAAATCATTCCATTTTGAGACTTTGAGTAATATACAAATTTGTTTTTATTTTTGTTTTTGTTATCCATCCAACCGAAAATAGTCTTATAAACGGCCAAACATCATAATAATGCAAGTGATTTTCTTAGGTATACTTAACCGGCTTTCTCTTTTTGAGAGCAGAATATTTGTCTGTTCGCTACCAGGGCATCTCAGGAAAAACATCATCATCATCACCATAGCCCAAGAATTTTTTTCGTGGAAATCTGATATCATTTGGAATATTTCAGGTTTTACCTATGTATACTTGCTGGATACAAATAAGCATAAAAAAACTGGTGTTTTAAAGCGCCATCGACATCTGTAAACTCGGTACTCGACACGTCGAACACACTACAATTTTTTTCATTGCACAACACATTTAAGCCTGCTTTAGCGAATTGTCCAAAAATGTCTGTCCCATGTCTATGGCGTCAGACTGTGATAAGAAACCGCTGTGTTACGTATGTATGACTGTATGTACCGGAAATGTTAGTGTTAATAGTGACCTATAGAAACATGGCAGTCTTCAAGACAGCGACGACAGACAGAATTGCGTGCATTTTTAGAGCTGCGTTGGTCTTTCCTCTCCTTCTTCTTCGTGGAATCAGATAATCTGAGAAAAGTATAAAAATAGAAAAACAACTAATGGGTGAATTTTATTAGGCAAATAATCATCACAACATCACCTAAGCAAGGCCAGCTGCCGCAGTGAAGTACTTCTGCTTGAAAACTTGACAAATGGAAATATGGATTAAGCCTTATTTTGCGTTCCTTTCAATTCCGAAATGTAATTCTTTTGCGCTTTGTAATAGCACCGATCGCTTATAGCGATCTGAGGTAGTTTAGCTGCCCGATTTCGATAAGGATTGTTGACTATTAATCGACAGTCAGCCGACTGGACAGCAGCCGACTTACTTGTAAGTTAATTGTTAGAATGTCATGAAATTTTGACACTTGCCATTTTAAGGTGGGCACTATCTACTATGTGTCAGTTTGAAAAACTGATGAGTAAAGTAATATACGAATGCGAATGCGAATGCGAATGCGAATGCGAATGCGAATGGTATGTGAATGCATTTTCGGACCCAATTTGAACTTTCCCATAGACCGAAGGAGACCGTAGAAAGGGCGGGTATGAAAAAGCCCAGGAGCACAAGGAATGCCTTTTCGGTAAGTTACATTACTTACGTCTGGTTGGTCGTTAACGGGTAAATACGTGCTGTTCTTTTAATTGTAACAGTATGAGGATTGTCAGTAAGCCAAAAGTACAGAACTTCTCCGACATCTTACGAACTAATTAGCTCAGCAAAGACACATACATCGGTGTCGTACGCCTCAATTCCACCTAAAATGGCGCTTTCGAGTTGCCATAAAATTGAGTGCAGTTAATAGTTCTCTATAGGCAGACAGGAAGGATAAAAAATATATCGTTACATGAAAATGACTTATATACAAAAGGTAAGAAGAAAAAAAGCTATATATAGATATATGTATGTATGTTATAAAATAATAAAAGAAAATATAATTGCAATCTTTTTATGCGACATTGCGGGTAATAAGCAAACGTAGGCGTGTATTAAAACTTTATAAATTTTTGCTTTTATTCTTTATTAATCGTTTGTTATGCTAGCATTGATGGCTAACAGACCTCTCGTGTCTATAAATTCCCTGTACAGAGTTGTGAAGTGTTCTTGAGAGTGTTATGGAAAGAATATATTTTTATACATGTTTATGTTTATATTGTATGCCAGACACAATTTGTGATTTTAGTTAAACAATGAATTGAGTTTAGATGAAGTATATATTATGGAACTAGATATTGGTTATATCGTGAATGTGCGTCAATTTATTTCTGTTTGCCGCCATTTCCTTTAATTGTATTTAAATAACAAGTGAACAAATTGGCATTAACCGAAAACGGGTGCGTGAGTATGGTGTGTGCATAGCAAAAAGCAAGCAATTTACTTAATGACCATAATATTTGTTAAATCAACAAACAAGCAAACAAATAAACCTACTACTAACACAGACCGTCTGTGCGCAAACAAATAGCAAACAGTGAACACACATATATAAATATATATATATATACAAATATACAATATATATATATATATATATATATACAAATATAAATATATATGTGCGACCCAATCGAACAAGCAAATGTACACATAAATAAACGGCTAACAAACCGACCATACAAACGAATAATTATACACGGTCGAGCATGCATCAGAAAACCAAAGCAAACCGTACCATCGAGCAATAAAGTACTCAAAAAGTAAATGTATGTAAAAGGAAGAAAGAAAAAAATGTTTCCTCACCGCAACTGCAACACCAACAGCAAAGCGCAGAACTTTTAGCAGCAGTAACTTTATTTGTTGCCTTAGTAATTATGAAGATCGTTGCTTACATTACCCGTTAGTTTTTATAATGATTGTACACGAATGTAATATATATTTACATTCATATTCATATTCATATATTATTATGGGATAGGGGGTTGAACTGCGATATTCACATCCGGTTGAGTTTAACCGAAGGGATTATATTGCTTACCATAAATACGAAAATCGATTTCACTAACTCTGTCTGTCTGCCTGCTTATCTGTCTGTCTGACTCTCTGTCTGTTTGTCTGTCTGTCTCTCTATCTGTCAATCGTTTTGTCAGATAGAGCATTATAAATCAGCGCTACATTTTCCAAATTGCTCGCTTAATTAGGCAAAGATTTTCGAACTGACCAAATCAATTCTCAAAATTATGCTTTATGGAATGGAATTCATCATGCATACATATGTATAATGTTCGATGTTGTGTCGTTGTGACTTGAGAAAATTAAATTCATATTAGTGCAGAACAATCCTTAAGAATACTAAATCAATATTGAAATTATTGCCAGATTTGCATAACATTTACAAATATATCTAATCTGGGGATAATTTAGTTTGAAACGAACGTAAATAATTATTATATTAAAAGTCACGTACGCACAGTTAATTGAAATAAGAAATAAAATTAAATAAAATTTCTTTTAGTTAATATTTGAATTTTAATTACAATAATAATATAAAATTTAGAATATTCTTCAGTTTGTCTACATATTATGTGTAAACTTTTTGTACAACAACAACAACGCTTCCCATACAGTTTCAAGGTAAACATTACAAAGACACCATATATGTTAACGTTTGTAAAAGAAACGCCATTGTATTTTAAAAAAAAAAAAAAAAAAAAAAAAAAAGTCACACACACATTCATATATATATAAATAAAGTTTAGTTCATATATATGTAAACGTACGACTGTTGTTTACACATGCTTACCCGTAAAGAGAGAGACAGAAAGAGAGAGAGACAGAGAGAGAAAATATTTATAAGCCAGTAATCATTCGCTATTCATTAGATAGACGAGAGGTATTTATTTGCGATATATGTGTGCCAAACTAATTACAATAAAACAACATTTAACCAGCAGACAACTTTATTAAGTACTTGTGTATGCATGCAAATAAATACAGTTATAAAATAATACACAAATAAGACGATATACAGACATTTGTATTCGTATGCGAATATAAATAAATACTTCATACAGTTATGGCCTCAGTCAGTTTCACACGCACAATACATCCACCCACTGCAGGCTGTATTAACTGAACAATAAAACTAATTGCAACAGATGACAAACAGAGAAATGTTTATGAATGTTTGCACGTGGTTATGTGTTTATGTAAATTATTTTTGTATATATTTATTTGTTTTTATCATTTTCCTTTTTTTTCAATTGAAATAATTAAGTAAAAAAAAAAATATTGAAAAACATAAACATCTAAATCTTATTTACCCCTCAGACATACAGATGCCCTAATTGGAGGTTAACGTCCGCACCTGACGCGAAGCCTTACATCCCAGGGGGAAAGACAATCCCCATTCAAGCGAGTTCTGCTACCCTGAGGTACCGCAACAGAAAATGGGTGTGGGCTAATTTCTCGTTCAGTGGTTCACGTCGACACCTATCTAAGCATCTCTTAGATAGCTCCCTGCGAAACTTTGGGCTAACCACACCCTTTCACCTTGTGCTTTGTCGTGGAATCATAGAATTCACACTAAGCTCTGCAGCTTTCGGTGCGCTCAAAATGTACGCGGCCGCAGTCGCTCTTGCCTTTGGACTATCCATACCTCTCGGTAGGTCAATCCAATTACTATCCTCTCTCAAGAAAATAATACTTCCAAGTTTATCATCACACAGGAGACACCCAGCTGTGTCGCAGCCCACTTTAATAACGCTGATGATCGTTCAATTTGGTGAACCCCATTAAAGAGAACTAAATGGGAGAAGAAAACGCTCCTTTTCATTAGAGGAGAGAGCCCCCTTTCCGATTAGATCTCTTAGGCTTCCGAGAGATAAACTAGTCACATCGGTTATAGATAGCAAGCCTTAAATCCTTCGTTGCCATTGACTGAGCGACTCTCAACAGCGAAAGCCTTAAAGCAACGGTCAATGTTTATAGGGAGCTCCACGAAATGGTGAAGGTTTCGGCACATCTATGTTCATCCAAGGGATCGCGTTGTTTCGCTCCCTCAGACATACAACGATTTAGTTGAATTCCTTACTTCTAAGCTATCATCTGGCCTATCCTTTAGTTACAGCAGATATAATACGAAATTGCTTTGCTGTTCGCCTATATATATCAATCAAGCATAAAGTGATAGTTGAAAATTATGTCATCAATCGATGCTTAATTTTAATCATTACTGAATCTTATTTTTATTTATTTATTTTTTTTTATTACATTATCGCCTCTTAAATTTAGTACGTTATTTAAGAAATTTTCAAATATTTTCACTGCATCTCTGAAGTGGCTTGCTTTTGATCTCCTTTAGGATATCCATTTACGGTTAACATAAGTTTTTTCTTTTCTTTTCTAAAAAATGTTTCAAATTATAAAGTTCCGTTAAGATGTGCGAGTAACGTAACTGAAATGTCTGAGTTTCGAAATAAACCACAATGTATTTCATTGAGATTCAAAGGTCACTTTTTTCTTTTCCCAAATTTTAGAAAGCATCGCTCTTAACGAGTATCACTCCCAATGAAAGACCATTTAAAATGCAAAAATATTAAAACGCTGTCCGACTTTTAATTATTCTTTTCTGGCTATTAAGATTAAATAAAGCCTTAATTAAGCCTCATGGAGAAGAACATCGATCAGAAACAACAGCAAAGTTCAAAGTAAACGGTTTGCGATAATTTTACGCTTAAGGGACGTGACGCAAGAACTTTGATTCCAGGCATGGCTAATTACATTTTTAAAATGATACATTGCAACATAATATATATATACATACCACGAATTTTCTTTTTCGTAAATAAAAACCAACAAGTGTGGATGGACATACTGCTGTAGTAGGAGCAGTGCATCTCACAAAGTAAAAGTTTAAGTTTAATTCATTAGACATTGATTGAAAATAAAAAAAAAAATAAAAAAAAAAAAAAACAAAAGTGAAATTTTCGTCAGTTGTTGGATCCGCCAAACCTTGCAATAAATAGTCAGAAATAAGTTAATCCAATCCCTTCCTTTGGCTTGACCACCACAAGCATCATATATCATATGATATTAACATCTCTAGCAATTATTACATATTCTATGTTGTATGAGTTCTCACTTAGAAATTTATTAAAATGAGTTTTTCAGTAAAAGATGTTGATTATAAAAGCAAGAAATAATTTCAATAATTGATTAATGATTGATTGTACGATAATTAAGAAAGTGTATAGACTTTTTCGATATGAATGAAAAAAAAAAAAAAAAAATTGTTAAAAAAAAATAATTTTCAAGAATAAAAATAGCTATAGTAACCATCAGCCAACACTCAATTAACAACATCATGAGACATTTTGAAACCAATTGTTCTGTTACTTACAGTTATGTGCGTGTATGTATTTATGTGCGTTTGTGTGCATTAGGGCTCATTCTAACAAGCATTGTTATGCTTTTGCGAAAGTTGAGCACGAGTCTATGTCAAGTGACAAACGTGACACATAACAAAATAAAAACAATCATGGATATACAAATTTCGTATACATATGCAGATGTATGCATACCGAATACAGATATATTCTTAAGTTATGTAAACCATAAAACAAACAAAAAACATAGAAAATACATTATGGTAACTTATATGCATATACATATATATATATATATATATATATGCCTTATAGTACTGGACCATAGTAGACCCAAAAATGTGGTCAAACAATAACAAGAGCCATATAAATTCAAATATTCACATACACCCAGCCGGACGCAGTTACTTTCGTATGAACGAAAGTTGGTTAAAGATCAAAATGTGTTTTTTTTTGTTTTCATTTTTTTTTATATATTTTTTTTTTTATTTTCAGAAAAACGTCCGGATGTCCACACATACGTGTAGTTTCTGCATAGAGAAGAAAACGTGATGTCATTACAAAAATCATGTACATGTAAATTGAACTTGTTATTTAGATTCAATGATGCCAAGGTGTGCCGGTGCGCCTGTGTGTCGAAGCAGATAAGCTTCTATTGCATCCTTCTCCCTTCTACTCTTCTCAGTATAACTGTAACTTTGGCTTTAATGCATTTGACATTTATTATATACATATGTATATATATATATATATATATATAATGGACACGTACATCATCATCTGTGAACTGGAGTTACAATTGAAAACAATGATTTTATAGTTGATGACAAAAAAAAAAAAAAAAAAAAAAAAAACAAATAGGAGAAAAAAGAAAGAGGCAGAAACTTGTGATAACATTTTAAACTTATGTTCTTCTCCGCTCTTCTTTAATAAACATGACAAAAGTGCGAAGTGAGTTAGGGACGGACGGCGAGCAAGAATTATTTTATAATAAAAGCATATCTTTGAAATTTATTGTTATGCAAACTATTTGACATAAAGGAAATGAAATTCCTGCAAAAAGGAATTAAAAACAATTTAAATCCTTTTATAACACACGCTTGCCGAACGACAAACTGTTCTAAATATGTGCAGATATCTAGCAATAAGTACGAGAAGGTACACCTAATTCTTTTCCGCTTTCTCCTTTCTCCTTTTTTCTTTTTTTTTTTTTCTTATGTCAGTCGTACGTTAAATTTTGTCTTTAAACTGTGGCAACTCTATATAAAAATATACTAAGCAACGGAATATGTACGATTTCGCCAAAGCTTTTGCAAAGTAGTTTTGTTTAAGGCTCGAAGAAAAAGTACTACTACTAGCAGTTAATCGTTCGCAGTCGCTGATTACACACGATCGATAAAGGCACATAGTGGTTGAAAAGCTTCCGGGGTACCCGGGATTTTAATGGAGAAGGCAAGATAACATCTTGAAAAATACCTGGTCTTGTAAACTCTCATAGTTGCGAGATTTACGATAGACAGCCAGAACATGGTGTACTTGTCCTTAATGGGTGGATCAATTCTGAATATGGGCGGAAACGCGATAACATTGAATGAAAATTTTATATACATATATAGCACGTAATTGATATTGATTTGAAACAAATTTATTCCAAAACTTGCAATCAATATGTTTGCAACAAGTGAACAACTGGAATTTGTACCGTAACGCTTTGATTTAAAATTTCGTACAAATGCCTCGTAAGACCAATTCAAACAACAGTGCAAAACTATTGTTAGGCTTTAGGCTAAATGACAGTGCTTGTGTGTTTTATAAAACGCTGGATTGGATTCAATGCGTAGACTCACTCGAATCCACCCACAACTTATTTTACTTTTACTTTTTTATAAAAATTCAAATCTGAAAAGCGTATCGAAAAAGAATAAAAGATTTTGAAATAATAATCCCCATCGCAGAGTGAAATCGGTAATTTATGGTCAATGCAAGAATGTCAGTCCATCCGTCCGCCATTTTTCTTATTGTAAAGTTCACGGTTGCAAAAGTGGCTTTAAAAAGTGAATTTAAGATTTTAAAAGCGAAAAGTTAGGAGTCGATTTTCGCAATACGACGGCTGTGTGGCCAAGAGTCTTGAATAGAACAGAATGGACAATGGAAGGACGCTTTTATGACTTATTCGTGGAAAATTTTCAAGTGTCAGTTGGAAAGTCAATTTGGAAATTTGCAAAATCATCATCTAATATCAGATAATAATTTAAGCGTGTGCAGCGATAACTGTCATATGCTGTCATACGTAAGGTTCAATGTCTGAAGCAATTCAATCCAACCATGCTGGCGGTTAAGAGAGATGAATGTAACTTTTTTACTTGTTCCGTAGATATTCATAGCATATTATATTTTCGAAATTTCGAATTTTCAAGTTTGTTTTCAATTTCGCTTCATTTTAAGGGCATTTAATTTTTATTCACTTTTCAAAGAATTAACTATCATCGCATCGCGCCCCTGTCCGTTAAAGCGTACAAATTTCATATCAATAAAGGCTCTCGAAATAAATGCGATTTACTGGCTTTTAGGCAGCTATTAAAAATAATTCATATTTTATAAATTTTTCCAATCTAGTTTGAAAGGTTAAACATGTTCGAGAATGAAAACAAAAAAAAAAACAGAATGATATGTAAACGGTATTCCATCACTTGTAGTCAATTTAAGTCGCACCTTGAAGGCCTTGCATAAGGATAGATAAAGCAGATTATTTTTGCAATAAAGACCATAAGGAAAGCAAATTCGCAATTGCTTATCGTAAGTATGATATACGTATACAAAAACTTCTCTTCTCTTCTGTTTAAGGCTACAATCGCACCTTGACGATGGCCAATAAATGTGCATATTAGACATGCATGAATCTCTTCCATATATTTAAGCATAAAAAATGCTCTTTACAACCAGCAAATAGCATTACAGACGAATTCAAAGGTAACTCTTCGTCAAAAAAAAAAAAAGAAAAAAATAACACAAGAGAAAAAAGATATTTGCTTTGCGTCTATGCATAACTACGTAGCGAACTTCCGAAATATGTTTTGCATGTTTTTTTTTTTTTCCTTTTTTTTTCTGTTTTCTTTTTTCTTTTTACACATGCATCGAACATAAGGATTGCTGTATATTAAGTGAAAGCAAGATTTTATGCCGACATATTTAGCAAGTATCATTTTATTTATCCATCGTAGTGTTTTGGAATTGAAAACAGGTACAAAAGGAAAAAAATGCTTACTTGTAGCCTTGATTTCTATGATGGCAAATAACGTCGTTCGATCGTATAAAGATATGCGATATAAGCGAAAGTGTGCATCGAAAAGTTTCATTGTGAAAAGCTTATTGACTTCAAAGATCCATTTCCGCTTTAATCGATCAATAGTGATTGACAACGCGACAAATAAAGCTCGAATTTAAGCCAGTTCAGATCGGTACATGATGATGGGTATAAAAAGTGACTATACCCTTAACATTGAATAATCGACTTATGTGTAGACTCAACGTTATGCATACATTAATAAACACTAATGAATTTTATTTAAGCAAACGTTTCATACTCGTTGATATGCTTGCTAAAATTATAATGGCAGAGAGAGAGAGAGAGAGAGATAGAGAGAGAGAGCAGAGAAAGAGAGGGTCAATGAATGCATTTTTGTACCTCATGTAACCTGCGAGTGAAGTTAAAAGCATTTAAAATTAATCTACTTAAACAACATGTTGTGTAATATAACGAAAATTTACAGTAACTAATGCAATAACAGTCACTTTTAACACAAACGCATACACATTTATAT